AAGCCGTCGTTCCGCTGCATTGTTGTTCACGATGTAAGTTTTCAATATACCGATGTAAATGTCGAATAAAGAAACCCATTTTGAGTATAATGTGGACGTCCATTAATCGGAGACCACGATTGAGCATCGAGAACATAAAATATGGGGCCGTGTACCACCAAATGGGTGTATGAAGATGATATTCTTGCTCGACCTTGTCAATATAATCTGTAGTGATATCACCTCGAAGACGACAGTAATCAACGAGTTCTTTAACGGATTTATCGTCGTCATCATCAATTTCCAAAAATGTTTCTTTAAGCAATTGCGTATACATAAACAAAGGATCGATGCCATCAAAGCTGATCGGGATCATGGCTCTATCACAGTGTTCACGATCGATTTGTAATGCATGGCAAATTAGCTCGATTTGTGTGTACACACCTTTTACTATGGGAATTGTTTTCGCCCATTGTTCATGAACCGATTGATTGTCACAGAAAATATATATGGAATCTAATTGTGAACATGCTTGAATTTGTGGTATTATATATTGCCCCAGTGCACCAGACACAATCATGAATACTTTTTCATCTTTAATGTCACTTAGAAAATCAACACATTGGTCAGGATCTGTAAATGTTGTGATCGCTGCTACAATATGTCGTAAATGTTGTATTGATTTTTTATAATCATCTTTGGATTCATCAAGATTGGCATCAAGCCAGATCAGAAGAAAATTTTCTAGAACCCGATGGACATATTCGGGTAGTACAGCAGAAGTATTGGTGGTGGCCATCGCTGCTCGCCCACTTACAGCAGTAGTAGTAGTAGTCGTGCTTTGGTTGTCCATGATGAACGCAATAAGTGAGACTTCGTCCTCCAATATATCTATAATTGTTTATACCTCATGTTAACACTATTTCCTGACTGGTTGGTCGCATCTAAACACCAAACGCAAAAATCGTTCGTTTAAACCCGTTTTTGTTATAAAACACGTCTAGAAGCAGTAAAAACTCAATAACAAACGCGCCTGGACGCGATTTTATATGAATCGGGTCTGAACGAGGTTGGAATAAGACTTCAAACGCGCCTGAACACGTTCTCATTTGAAATCGCGTGCACAGTGAAACATTTTATGCGTTTGGACCCGATTTCAGTTCGAACCGCGTCTAGACGCAAAAAATGTTTTGCATGAACCGCCCCTAAGAGCGTCTGATAGCTCTGATTAAAATACAAACAAAACTCAATTCAGAAAACTGTTGATACTAAAACTATTTACACGATTGGTTTTATATCCATCAGAAAATATGTATCAAGGCACCCTATAAAATTAATCTAGTTTGAAAAATTTCAAGTCCTCAGCATTTTTTTATGCGTTTTCTCCCGAAAAACAGAATAAATAAATTTTTTAATAAAATAGAATAGGATCATAAATACTGAAACATCAGTACTCTAATGGAAAATAAATTGCTTGAGTGAGAGTAAGTATTAATGTAAGTAGAATATAGACAGGGTGGGTGTGGGTGTGGGTGTGGGCGTGGGTGTGGGTGTGGGTGT